ATATTAGGTTACCATTTATGTTGCCTTTGTTTCGGCTAGTTAAGTATATATATATCTTATTAGTTTTTTTTATCTAGTATCACTGCGTATTTTGACGGATTATTGTCACTGAGTATTTTTACATATATATATATATATATATATATATATATATATATAATCGAGATTCAAAGCCAGGCTCAGTGTTCACTCAGTCTTTATTTTAAACTTCTTGTTTCCTTTGGTTTTAATTTACTATCATTTCAAACTTTCGTGAGTAATGGTGATATTACAAATTTTCCAGATAATCGTTGTAAACTACCCGAATCCCCCAATAAGTCTCCGAGTAGTCAATGAACGAAGACTGGAAATGCAAGGTCTCGGATGTGACGAATGCTCGTGGAAAAGTTTCATCTCCTAAGCTAAGACGTTTCGGCATAGTATATATAAGTTAAGTGGCACGGTTTCCCGTTCTCTACAATCATTACTTCATAGTACATAAAACTTGACATCGCATACACCGAATGCAAATATGGCGTCCAATTTGAGTTGCCATTGTTCTGGACTGACTAGCCTCTCACACATGTAATAATCCTTTTGTATTTCCACGTGAAGATGAGGCTAGTCAGTCCAGAACAATGGCAATTCATATCGGACGCCATATTTGCATTCGGTGTATGCCTTTAAATTAAATAATGGAAAATTTATTATTTGATGCATTTTGCCTGCCAGACCCGTTTGATCTTAAAATGAATTATGGGTTTCTTTTTTTTCGGGAGAGAAGTCCCCAAAAGAATTCACTAATCTACGAAACATTGACGCAACCTATGGGCCGACCTAGCTAGTCCGCAGTTGTAATTTATACAACGGACATTAAAAAAGGTTCCCTCAAATAGCTCAAACTCCTAATTTCATGTTAATTAAGATCCAAAAAAATGAGGACCATTTACTCGATCAAACCTCCTCGAACTTTACGACATAGTGTCAAAAACACAGAAACTAAAAAGTACAGAAGCAGTGAGACGAAAAAATTTATCATTAACTATTACACTCTGTGGGCATTGTGGCGCATTTTGCTGTGGACCAAAATACGCTCGCGCAATTGTTCAGATTGTTATGTTGTCATTTTTTCAGTTTTTATTTTCTCAATGTTCTCCGAAAAACATAATAGTAGTAAAACAGTTACGTTCTTTGGCATAAATATGTTTTGGGCCTCCGGCTCTCAGAGCTTATTTCAACCCTCACCTTGCAGCTTGGGTATGCATGACTCTTAGTTGGACCCAAAACACATTTATACCCGCAATATAACCTGTATTGTTTTATCATAACTTCCCCACAAATGTTTTAATCTTTATCCTACATTGCGTATTTTTAGAATCTAGGACAAATAAGACTGGAGCGCTAGGATTCCATTTTTTTTAAAATGAGGACTAGACCAGGTGAAAACTTAAGACAGGTGAGGACACTTGCAAATATTGATGAGTTAGAATTTACATGTTAAGTACATCATAAAGGATTCAAGAGGAATTCTACACCATCAAGTTCATATGAACGTGCACTTGTTAGTTGCCAGTGAACACTTGCTGGAGTGAACACAACTCGCCGGAATTGTTTAAAATCTTGCAGTCTCAAGGCTTCACTTCATGTTCGCATTTCAAATTGGTATGCATGAACCTGAAAAAGCTGCTTGGTTCTACAAATCCTTGGCTTGTATCTGAAATTCTTGTGACGATGGTGAGTTCGGTAAAAGCTAAACCAAACTGGTCCGTTTAAATACGAAAGCACCAGTTCTGATTGAGTGCAACGTTCTCCAGCAATCACTACGATACAAAACAGGTCCATCCATTTACGAAAGTGCCAACACAGATTAAATGAAACGTTCTCCAGCAATTCATCACGATACGAAACAGGTCCATCCATTTACGAAAGTACCAACACAGATTGAATGAAACGTTCTCCAGCAATTATTACGATACGAAAGAGGTCCATCCACTCACGCAAGTACCAACACAGACTAAATGCAACGCAAAGACTGATTCTATTACCATATCCAACGACTTCTTCAAGTCTCTATAACAGAGTGCCTCCCTTCAACTATTTACGATTTTTCTTCGAATTCAATGCTGTCTTCCTGTTGATAAGGTATTTGAGAGCCCAATTTAGTAATACTCTTAAGAAGAAATAACTCAAATACATGACAATCAACCTACCGTGCTCTTTTGATCTTTGGTAGCAGATTCTAAACTTGAAGATTGACTTAGTACTTTACTGTCAAGGAATATGCTCGGGATGTTGGGACCAAAGAATATCTTTGTATTTGATGCAATGGAATTGAATTTCATCTGCTCCAGGTACTCGGGTGTGAGTTTGAGCTGTAAAGAAAATGTAACACATTGCATGTAAAAGAAATTAACTTTTAACAGCAATGGCAGCCACTTCGCTCAGCAAGACAACCCTTGTCTCATGCACACACACAAAAAAACGCAAACATATTTAGAAGTAAAACTCTGTGGATTATCTCCACTAGGAAATGAACAACTAAATACATTGGTTACAACTGTCATAATACAAAAGGGCCGGTTTAATAAAGGAAAAAAATAACAACCCTGACCGCGTTTAATGAGTTTCCATCTCACCCGTGTTATAATTTTTGCCCCAACTGTAGACCTTGCTGATTGTACTTACAAACAGTACACTGATGTAAACATCTGATTTACCTTATTGGCCTCTGCAAGTTTAACTGCAGTGTAGTATTCCGCATCAGCTCTTGCCTTCATGCGAGCCAAATGGGCACCATCTACATAGCATAACAGCAAATGTACAAGATAAGATTTATATGTTTAAGGACCGTTTCTCAAAAAGTGTAGTTATAATATCCCAGATATAGGCACTCCTTCCCTAAACCATAAAAACGTAACCAGAAATATTGAGGATATATACAACAGTTCTAAGCAGCCATCATACTCATTATTGATTCTTTCTGGAAATAAATTTAGACTACTTGTTTTCAGGTCAACAGAATCAATATTTTATGTCGTGTTACCTCTTACAGTCTACAGACATCAAAAGGGCAACGTTGCTTGAAAAGATATAAAAGAAATTGAAAGAAATATCAACATTTACAAAAACTTTGGTAATGCGTCCATTTTACTGTCACTGAAGTCCCATTTGCTGTACGTTACTTTGTTGTTATCTTTTATGTTATGAACAAAACTTCCCTCTGCCTGCTAAATTTTAGTGCACTTGACAACAAGGAGTAAAGTTATTTAGCAGCGGTGTTTTAAACACGAAGGCGCGCTATAAAAGGAGCCTTAGGTCCCACTGGACCATTTGTCAATCAACCGTCGTGTGATGTAGAATGACTCTTAGCGTCAAGTCCGCTTGAGCCACAGCTACTCTAAAGTAGTGAACAGCGGGCGAGTTCCTCAAAATCGTTTTATGTCTTCATCACAATACAAGAATTTTTGAGATTTTTATTCCTTTCTCCAATGGAAACTGTCTTTATTTGTGGCGGAAAATTTGAGATCGAAGTAAGAGGTTCGCACGTTACCTCATGCCACCATGATGGTGGAAGTAAACAATAGATATCTCATTAGCTCCTTTTGTTCGTCTACCAGCATTTAAATTTGACCCGCACACGTCAACGGTGAGTGACAAATGAGCCTAGGTCTTCCCAGGGAAGACTTCCTTATATAGCACGACTTTGTGTTTAAAAGCAAGAAACACAATCCCTTGACACAGGAATATCCACAATTTACTTACAATACGACAACAAACTCAACAAATGATCAGAAACAAATTAAAACAACAAAACAATGACCTACCCTCGATCTCTGACATCTTCCTAAGACTCTCCTTTTCCATTATTTTCTGATCAAACTGAATCTTGGACACCTGAGCAGCCTTCTCAGCCTCTGAGTTATGACAGCAAACATGAAATCAAATCCAAGTTAAATGTTTTGTGGAAATACAATTAAATCCATATGCAATCTATTCTGTGAGTTGTTACATTTATCAGGTGGTCAGCTGAACACCACTAGTTTAAGTTCATACCAAAAGATGACATGACAATAGCTGTTACACAGAAAAATAAACCTTGATTTGACGGTTACACAGAACCAGTTGAGTAAGTCGTTGTGTTGTGCACTAAGCCATCAAAAATTAGCAATTTTACCAAGAATAGAATTAAGAGTAATACCTTTTATCTAGATGGGGAAAAAAATCTATTTTACAGTTACATGACTTGTACAAACAGAACATAGCTGTGTGACTGTGTATTATCTACCATAAGTTATATAATCAGTTCTCTCTAAAAAGTGGACTTTAGGGTAAATACCTATAACAGCTTTCTTGCGCTCTGTCTCTGCCTCTTTCTCAACCACTCTTTGTCTTTGTTGGGCAATTAACAGTTTAGTCTTCTCCCCTTCCCTACCAGTCAAAGAAAACATTTGAACCAACATTAACTTTAAGTTTTAGTTTTACATCACTAAGTCAAAAGCCCTTTACATTAATGTCGTGCACTGCTTATTGCTTAAGCATGATCAAATTCTTTCAAAAACAATTTACAAACGTACTCCTGTAGAAATACATGGATATGCACTGTCATTCCTGCATAAACAGGGCTTGACACTAACTTTTCAACTTACTAGCTATGTGGCTAGTGACAACTTGGGTGTGACAACAATTTCAGTTTGTTTACTAGCAAGTGGCAAGTGGAATTGAAAACCACTGACCAAAACTGAATTTCTACTAGTCTGGGGCTAGTGGGCTACCATTGGTGTTGAGCTCTGATAAATGAGATTTCAGACATCTACCTATACTATAAATTAGGAGAAGTGTTTCACAATAAAAATCAATCTGAAGAGAGACTTTCTCAAGTACATACATTGCTTCATAGTTACGCCTTATGCTCTCAGGTATCTTTGGCTTGGTAACTCTCACAGCCTAAAACAAAGACAAGCATTAAGCTCACCCAGCATGAATTTAGTTTTTGAGTTACAGTGAACATAATTATATCATAGAATTAATACAAAAATTTGATACAAAGCAGGATGTATATTGTACGTGTGCCATGGATTGGACTGCTTCAATTTTCAAAAGAGGGTTACCATGCTAAGACATTCAATGGTGACAAATGATGGTTATCATGATGACAATCATATTATCATTATTGCCTTATTATTACACGACTTGGGCAGTCAGAGGGCCAATAACTAAAATCAACCAATCAAAATGCTCTATTGCCGGTCAATATTCTCTCAGTATTGGACCGGGCACTGTCCCGAATGGTCCTGAATGATACCGCACTTGTGTCCCTTTGAACTTCAGTTGTATAATAAATCTATTATCAACCAAGCTTGCTCGGGACCGTACTGGAAAAATATCGGCCCTCAGTCTTTTTTGTATGGACCGAACTGCGCTCGGTCTGTACTGTCAAGACCTTGGGCCGATATTCTCCCAGTACAGCCCTCGTGCTTGGTTAATAAGATATATATAATTATGCTACTGATATTTTAAAACAAATTCTCTAATTCTGACTTGAACTCTTAAACCAGGTGCCATGGCCAGCAGATCTAACTGCAGAGCAGTACGCAGATTCTCGTCAATTTGATCTGGAAACAAAGCACAAGAAATAAACAATGCAGGAAAAAAACCCATCAACATGCAACCAAAAGCATTGTCTAAAGTGACTTGAATCAAAATTAAATATTGACTACTGATAAATTGTTTACAAATTATTCTCAGTTAATCTTGTGAACTCACCAAAGAGATCTATGTAAACTTCTTGGAGGGTGTGTGCACTGCAAAACTGAAAAGCGTAACAATACGAGTCACAAATTTCATTGTTAATCAAAAATTATGGAGCTCATAACTGGGTTGAAATGGTGGCCATATGCATCACATAGCTGGTTGCAAAAATGCTGAAGCTTCTAGCAAAATAGTGGCATGCCTCAAACCAGTCATGAAGGGCTTCACAGAATAACTAGCTTCACGCATATCAACTCCATAGCTAAATAATACGAATATATCAACAAAGTTGAAATGGTAAATTGGCCACCATTACGATTATAAAAGCTGACGTTTCGAGTGTTAGCCCTTCGTCGGAGCTAGTCACTTTAAAGGAAACAAATGGCTAAGAATCACCTGGTTCAGTTCATGATGTATCTTGTTGAATATCAGTGCTTTATCATAATCTGCTGTGTAGTTTCTGACAATATCAAATACTACAAAAATAAACAAAACAAAACAAAAAAAAAAAACATCAGAACATGACAAATAAGTCGAAAATGTATTTCCAGCCCATTATTATTGCATACATACTAATAATTATCATTTGATAACTATTAGTACAAGTTTTGTACAAGTTATAACTTCTTTTGCCTCAGCCTAGTGAGCACAGTACTAGATAATAACTTAATTCATACCATTTTCCAAAGGACAGCTCACACAAATTGGTGAACTTTTACTGGTCAGGACTTAATTTTATGGCATGCACAAAGAGATGCAATATGAAATTGGGCACATTTTTCTCTATGGGGAAAGTAGTAATTTTTTTGTAGGGGAATTATATGACATCTTTCTCTTAGCTTGAGGTGACAAACTGGTTTTGAAATAATACCTTGGGTAATTATTAAGCAATTGCAAATTATTGCTCTTGTCCAAGAACATAATTGTCCTACTATGGCCATTTTGAGTTTGTGCTTATAATTACCACACCCAACCAAGGGGATCATTATATGGAATTATATTCATGAGGTAACCCTTGATCAAGCATAGAAAGCGCATTGGTATACTTTAAGTTCAAGATCATTCTTTTTTTCTAACCTGATGAAGCTTCAAGAATATTTACAACTTCAATACGATCAAAGTAGATGACAACTCCGCCACTGCAACAAAAGTTAAAAAAAATAAAAATATATCACTTAGTATATTCCAGCATGAAAAAAAAAAAGATAATAGAAACTGAAAGTTAAAAAAATGCCTTCCTCACACAGAAAAAAAAAAAATCAAAAACACTGAAAACTAAACCTCACTCAATAGGAAGTGTGTATAGAACAGTATGGAGAATATGCATACTGATGTCAGGTTGTAAAGGGTTAGTAATTCTACCAACCTTGTTCCACAAGGAACATTTTTGACTTCATCAGTCTGCAATGTAGTCTGTACTGAGCGGAATGATGTTAGGAATGGAATCATAATGTGATATCCTGGTCCACTGGTTGATGATAGCAATGCACCACCCTACAGCACACATAGTAACAGAGATGTTGTAAGAGGGCTGTAAGATGCTACTCTGTATCTTAATTAGCAGAGGCGAATTTAAAACTAGTAATAAGTGGACACTACCTAATCATTCTTATTTTCACCCATTTATGACACTTCTCATATCATTCTGGTATATGCATACTGGCTGTATAACCGTAACTGAGAAATTTGGCTTTGAGGGATTATCTAACTCACCCGATAATAAACTCCAACATGACCTACAATAAGGCAAAGTCAGATAATTAGTGAAGTTTTATGAACACAATGTTTGGTACACAATAAAATTACTCTCTACTATCCAACCACCAGATTCTAGGCAGATTATTTCTCTTTCTTTGGTAAATAGCATGCATGAACTTGCTGATGGCATTCAACATACAAATTACGGTCTTTTCATCAAAAGTTTTTTCATTCAAGTCTTTTCTTCCAAAAGTCTTTTCATCCAAGTCTTTTCGTCCAAAAGTTTTTTCATCTAAGTCTGTCTGTCTAACTATTAAGTCTTTCTCAAAGCAAGTAAATAACTTTTAGAAGGCTAGATGGGGCTATATAAAGAACTTATTGGCGTGAGCCATCGCCATTTTGGTTCCTATGTTTTTGGTTATGCCAGACACTTAGTGATGTATTTTGCATGAAATAATTAAATGGCAAGTCTTTGTTTTTGTCACTATTTAATAAAAAGTATCCCATTACAACTTCAACTTAAACAATGTTATAACTTTGACGAAAAAACTTGACTTTGGACGAATGGACCAAAGACTTAAGATGAAAAGACTCTTGGGCGAAAAGACCCGATACCCAACATACTCTTATAACAGGTTAAACCCCTTAGCTAACAGGTAGTATGTAAGGAAGTTCTCCTTACAATAACGAAACATTATCAAGAAGAAAGGTAATGAGATTTAAGAAAAGATTTCTGCTAGGGAAATTTGCTTGATTTAACACCAAATTCTCAGAGCTGAGACTATGAGAAATGTTACGAGACTGAGCACAGTTAACTGGTATAATGATATATAATGGAAGAGCAAGGGTTCAAACCACCATTACATCATTCTTTTGATTAACTTGATAATCAAGATTGTAAGTAACGCTTTCAGTATGTATCATGTGTATTTATTAATATTCATAGCCGCTAGCAAAACCACCTGCATTGTTATCTTAAGCGTGTGAATAATAATTAATTTCCGCCTGAAATTACAGCATACTTTCCACCGTACTCTGTCAGCTCATAGAAATCGTACTCAGTTTGCTAAGAGAAGACGGGAGTGTAAATCTAATCCTTGATGCACTTTTCGCTATGCACTAGAATAAAACGCTCATTTGTAGAGGAAACGCGTCGGGTATCTGAGATTTTAGCTAGAAATTTCAATTTAAGATCGTCTGTCCTACAGCTCTTATGATACGGTAAGATAATTGCTGAGAAAGAACATCACGGATATGCACCATTACAACCCCAAAAAACTGAGGATTTTAACCTAATAGAAGTACATAATCTCGCGATAGCAATTCGTTCAGGCCTTCACAGAAAACATGTGCTGATTTCAAAGGTCTATTTTACATGCAACACGAAACAGGACAAAATCGTGTGAAATGCACTTTTCGAAGCGACCACTATCTATTATTTAAATTTTAACTCTTCTCTCACCTTCATCAATTTTATGGATGGAGAAATTGAACAACATTGCAACAAGCGCTACGATTATCCCAGTGACTACTGCGGCAGCCATATTGAAGGAAGAAGAAGAGACTACCCGTCAGGCTATGCAATGTGAAGAAGGTATCTAACGCGGTCCTAGTCCTCTCGCGACCTATCGAGCCTCAGGATGGTTGGCCTGAATTTCAAAGAATACTCATGCCTCCTTATTAAGTTTATTAACTTTCATATTTTGAGTCTTGAGGGATATTATTTTTTGTTGTTGACTAAATAGGAAAAACCCGCAGGATTATAGAAAAGCGGAGCGTCGAGGTCGAGGAGGTTGCGTGGTCACGTGATACTGGTTAGTACAATCGATCAATCATTGAAGAGAATAACAAAGTTGAGAGGTGTTCAAACATGGCGGGCAGTACATCTCCGGTTTCGAAGCAGGCATTTCATGAGACCTACGAGCTAAAGGAGGAACTGGGAAAGTAAGTAATTCCACAGATCAACTTTCACTGGACGTGGTTGTAGGATTTATTCTTATTTCTCGATTGTCCCTCGTAGAGGCGCGTTCAGCATTGTTCGTCGATGTGTAAATAAAGAGACGAGACTCGAGTATGCCGCGAAAATTATCAACACGAGAAAATTATCATCTAGAGGTAAGAAAAGCGGATTTGTTTTTTTTTTTCGCGATAACTTTAGAATTGAAGATTTTATTATGAACTTATTATAGATATACGAGGCACTAAAGTTAAAAATTGTTTTAAATTTTTTTTCGAATGAACTTGCTGCAAATTTCATTTGGAATCTTTTCGGTATTCTTTACTTGGAAAGGCGAAGAAATAAATCTTTCAGGAAACGATCTATTTTCGATGGGGTTTTTTTTATTGCTGTGGTAAGGTTACCCTTTCGCATTTACTGAATTCGGACGTGTCTTTTATTTTTTTCATGGATGTAAAGAATATTTCAAATGAGGAATGATTCAAGAGGAAATTGTTTATGTTATTTAGAGGTCGCCTACAAGGTATATTTTTGAAGATATACCTTGTGTTAGTTTCCGAAAAGTACGGATAAATGGCTACCATAAATGATACATCCAAATCCAAACCAGATGTTGCTTTCGATCGAAAGTTTGACCAGAGTGAATTTAATATTTTAATGTCAGAAAGCGCCAAACATCACTTCACAGTGGGAGAGTCCGCGTAGATTTCACCTGTGCCACACTCTGATATTTACCCAGATAACTCCTCTAATATATTTTATTTTTCCATTCATCAGATCTTCAGAAGCTCGAACGAGAAGCCAGGATCTGCCGCCTACTGAAGCATCCTAACATTGGTGGGTATGAAACAGGTTTAAATTACGGTAAATATCACGCGAAGGAAATTGTATGGAAGGTTCGCAAATTGAGATCCTTAAAAGTTTGAAAATGTTCTTTGTAATGCATAATTTTCTTAAGATATATGTTAGCCGGAAAGTTCTTTTGTTTCGCATGGGTGACTTTCTAGAAGTTTTCCGAAATTTTACTCTCGCGTACATTTTTACGCCGTGAGACGAACAGTGGCTCAAATGTCTTTCAAACGGCGATCAGCTCAACAACTGTGTAAACACAGAAATATACATTTAATTCATGTCATCAGCGGCGCGCACGCCAGTTAGTCACTCTATTTAAAAGGTGACGTGTTGCAATTCCCTCGTCAAGAGACAGAAACAACTCATAATTGTCAACATGAAGTTTTTTGCATGCGAAGATGCAAATTCTCTCCCTATAGATGAAGTTGTAGGCGTGTGAATGTGAGCCTATTGAATCGTTTTTGTTGTTCATGTCAAACGGAGATGAATTCCCACTTATTTTCAAACCCCGCAGCACTGCACGGCAGCGATCTGTCGTTGGTTTATGACTCCGTAGTTGTAAATTTGAGCTATAACACAAATTTAAATCGGCAAGAGCTGTCTGGATTTCTGCTTTAGATAAGATTTCTCTCGGTTTGCGGAGGTGGTGGAGTTGATTGCTTTTTAATTTAGTGAGCCGAAAACTTGCACCCAGCTGTAGGCTATCAGAATTTACGAGAAAGACCTCTTTCCTGTTTTTGAAGATAAGAAGAAGTATTTTTTTCTGTAGTTAAGATGGAACTTAATTGTTTCCTTTTGTCGTCTTGTAATTATAAATATTCTAAATATTATGCCTCCATATTTTACAGAGAGAATTGACGCTCATGAATCGATTTCGCGGGAAGAATAACTCGATATGTTATGTAAAATAGAATTCGAACATTAAATCAATTTGCAATAATTTTTTATATTGCGTTTTGTGGGAGGGATCGAATTACGACAACTAATGATGAGTAAAATTTCGTGAAATTACTTGTTTTCTTTGAGCTGACTTTTGTCTTAGCAGCCAATAAATCAAAATGGTCTTGCTGCGCATACATTTTGTAGATTTATTGATTGAATTTACACAATTGAATGCTAGCCTCTGCGAATCCGATGCATTTTTAATTCCTTCTTTGCAAATAATTGATGGGCAGTGGGTCGCACAGAAAGCAATATTGAACAAAGATGTGTGCGTGTGAGTCGTGGAGAGAAAGGGAGCAATTTAAAGGTCGCGATCGAATGTGTAAAGTAAGAAGAACCAAAATTAGGCAGACAGAGGAAGGCGTCTGAGCTCGTATCGATTTGAGTGTACAGTAATTAATGAAGTTGGATTAGTCTGTCAATATCCTAATGATTTTTCATTGGCATGTGACTGTATGGAAAATGGAATTTTTTCCCAATGCCAGTTTAGAATGAGTTTCAAGCCATCTTATTGCCACGTTGGCAGAAATTTTTTAGCTGATCGGAAAGGTTAACAGGGTATAGACATACACTCAGGTTAATTCTTCCAAAAGGTGTTAATAAATGATGAAATATTTTATAATTAAAGGTAACCTATAGCTGTAGGACTGAAGTCATTAGCACTTATTATTTCGTTTGCTCTGTTTTATTTTTCTCTTTTAGCACTATTTTATTTCATGCAAATCAGTTGACCTTCACTTTCCATTAATTTGCCATATTATTTTTTTTTTAAATCAGACGTTTTTTTTTTTTACCTTGAGAGAATTGTTCAGTCTTATTTGTAGGGTTCTCTGAAAACAATAAATGTCTAAAAAAGCATCAGAACACATCTTCATTTGAATCTATCTTTATTCTTAAAGCTGTGAAGAATTGCATTTTCCTAAGAGTTGGTTTCTTCCAGCTGAAAACGATTTCATCAATTATGTCAGTATTTGTAGCATGATAATGCTATAATCGTGACCCCAACTGTCAAGGGAAAGGTCAAAATTTGTCTTCAGCTTGAAGGGAGCACGGTGTCATGATAAGGTTGACATTCATTCTATTACAATGTGACTTTCTGCTGTTTATTATTCATCACAGGGACATGGGTGTATGCTGTTTTAAAGATGTCCTATATTTTATTTGTTTCATATATTTATTAAAGGTGCTTCATGTAATTTTCTTTTTCATATTTGTCGTTAAGTAAACACAGACATTCACTCAGCATTAGTAAATAAATAAATTGGTAATTATGATTGTCTTAAAGCAAGCCAAGTATGTAAGAAATGTTCTGATAGGGGTGATCTTATCTTTTTCACATGATACATCCTCATGGAGGTAGAACTGCAATATGGCTATCACATGTTGTAATTACTCCTTTTATTTTAATGTGGATGAAAAGCTGTTTTCAGAAGAAAATAAGCAGAATGATACTAAACAATTTGAAAAGTTTACATTGCAAGCCATTAAAAGGAGGACTATATTTTTGGACTGCAAAATTAATAAGATAATTTTAGGCCATTTGTTCCTCTAGTAAATGGAAGATAACTCTTACTTATAGGTGATGTACAGCACTATTTTATCCATTCCTGGACTCTTTAAATGATCAAATTGATCAAGATTATCCTAGGGCTTCTTTCATGTGTGGAATGGGAGACAGAATATTTTTTATTAGTTTTTACAAATTTTGAGATGCGACGAAACACAGTTCAGAGTATTCTACTGGAATTTATATTTTTAGCCCTCCCTTTCAACAGTCAAATAAACAGAAATATTGATTTCTCTTTAAATTATGATAAATTGAGGTGGTTCTGCATAGCTGCTGCAGTTATTTGATTCGATCTTATGGAATTCTACCAACAGATGAATCTTGATAATTATACTGGTTATAATTTGATATTTGAAAATAGAGCCATGGAATTTGTTTTTTTATTAAGGATCATGAAGCTGATGTTCAGGGTGTTTCCAAGAGGCATTATTGCCATCCATAGTTATTTCTTAGGATGAGGAAAAGACATTAAATTGACTTGTGATGTTTGAGAATTTGTATGAGATTAATATTGACTAATTAAAATATCTTTTATGATTTTATATGTCTTAGAAACACTCATTTTACATTGTTATGTAAGCTGTTTATGACCTGAGTCAGTTTAAGCCTCAGTTTAATTTAATTTTGTCTTATTTCCTTGCAGTTAGACTCCATTCTAGCATTGCAGAAGAAGGATATCATTATCTAGTGTTTGACCTGTAAGTCTTGGTGCCAACAGTGCAACATCTCTCTTTTGTTGTATAAATGTGTCTTCTTAATGAGGCTCAGTGCACCTGAACTGATGAGGAACTTGACCAGTGTTTTCCAGAGATTTTTAAGGGTCTGTCATAGAAAACTACCTGCCAGCAAAGGTTACATTTTAGTTTTCAGATCAAGACAGTTATTTGCTGCTTTGTCTAATTTGAGTAACCAGGGCTTCAGAAGAGAGTTAAGTTGGTGAAAATGCCAGCTGCTTATTGTGCTTCTGGATAACACTGTTTGACACCTGTGAGATCCTTGCTTGTGTATCTTGCATGTGGTAGCATCTGATGTTGTTTCTTATGTAAAATCTAACAGCTTGTGATTTTTGCTGCAGAGTAACAGGAGGAGAATTATTTGAAGACATTGTTGCCAGGGAATACTACAGTGAAGCAGATGCAAGGTAGAGTTTTTGCTTTTGTCATTTTGCAGGATGGCATTAAAAAAAATGAGGTTTTAAGTTGTAATTTCTAACCCTTGAAAGTGACCAATAGCCACAAAGGAAACTGAGAAAATTTTCATATATTTTGCATTGAGGAAAAAATTGTGAAGTCATTAAAAACTGGAAATTCCTAAGGAGTCTCCCATTAATTGAAGAAATATGTTGTAGGAGAAGGGAGCCAGGAATTATTCAGTGTAGTATCACGCTGTGCATTAGATTATTGTGACATTCTCTTGATTTTCTTTCTTTAAGTCATTGCATACAGCAGATACTGGAAAGTGTTCATCACTGCCATCACAACAAAGTAGTTCATCGGGATTTGAAGGTAGATGTTCTTTCTCTTCTTTATCAATAATTACTATTATTATAGTTTTTGAATATTTGAAAAATAGATTTTATGTTATTCATTTTGTTGTACTTCTATGTAGCCTGAGAATTTACTCCTTGCAAGTAAAGAAAAAGGTGCAGCCGTCAAGCTAGCTGATTTTGGGTTAGCAATTGAAGTTGATGGGGACAAGCATGGGTGGTATGGTAAGTGTTGGTTGTGAATAGATGTGATGGGTGAAGGATAAACACATGTACACTATATACATACATATATAGGTTAATTGACCACTCCCCATAGGGGCTTTTCAGGGCCAACACCCAGCCATCCCATGCAGGGGAGGACATCCACCACACAGTAATCTCGTGCGTGGGAAATTAATGTCTCCTACCCCTAACCCTGCAGGAGACGGGGCCTACGTTTTATTCGTCTTTATCCGAGAAGACTAGAATATCTATCCAATTCTTGATTATAGAAAGGTAGCAAATTCTCCTCACTTATTTTAAGACCATGAGTATTGGTCCATATACACTTGTGTGGAGCAAATTTTGATTTGAAACGCACTGCCATCCGCAGACCCTGTGAGCTGAGATTTCTAAACCTTATTGGTATAGTGTAGTTTACTACAAGCTAATACATTACTTTGTGATAAAAAGTTATTTGAAAAATGTGACTTGATGTTTGGGACGTTTCTTAATGAACAAGTGTTGGATTGGACTATCAGACTATAATCACCAAACTAGAAGAGAGAGAATAATTTGGTGGAAATTAATTTTGGGCAGTGTTCTTCGTGATTACGATAAACTCACAGTCACCCAGGGCTTTTTTCCACACACCCGTTTAACATGACTTAAAATCACTCAACTTTGGCTCACTAAATCCTGAGTGTTACTTAGGGATGCCTGTTCTGCTGAATTATCTAAAGACAATGTTACATAAATAAAGGNAGGTTATCTTTCTCCTGAAGTCCTCAAGAAGGAGCCATATGGCAGATCTGTGGACTTATGGGCCTGTGGTAAGTGAATGCGATGTCAGTCCATTGAATGCGATGATGTCAGTCCATTGAATGCAATGTCAGTCCATTGAATGCGATGTCAGTCCATTGAATGCGATGTCAGTCCATTGAATGCGATGTCAGTCCATTGAATGCGATGTCAGTCCATTGAATGCGATGTCAGTCCATTGAATGCGATGTCAGTCCATTGAATGCGATGTCAGTCCATTGAATGCGATGTCAGTCCATTCAATGCTCAGTACTTCTTGAATTTGATTTCAAAATGCAGAAACACATTTTTTGGCTCAAGCTTTGTAAGTTACCTTCCTTGATACATTGTGCAAGTCATGTACAGCTATAGGTAAAGTCTTTTTACGAGCCTAGTGGCCCATCAGGCCGGTGCTTAACTCTGGTTTCTGTTGCATGAAGCGACTAAGAGTATTTCTACTCCCCCCCTGGATGGGATGCTAGTCCATCGCAGGGTTACCCCCCAGCAGGAAATTTGCCGGTACCCATTTAAACACCCGAGTGAAGAGAGGCACTGTGAGAGTAAAGTGTCTTGCCTAATAACACAACACAATGTCCCCGGCCAGGGCTTGAACCCGGACCACTCGATCCGGAGTCGAGGGCACCAACCATGAGGCCACTGCGCCTCCACATTATGTACAGCTGTACAGTACTTATTAATAATATACTCTCCAAGATACAGTGTGCTTCTAATACCTTGATGTGGTAAATTTTTTTGTCAGAATTTCATTTTTATTTTCCTGTCTCTTATCACATCTTTAACTTCATGTAACTGAATGTTTTACTTTCAGGTGTTATCTTGTACATTTTACTTGTTGGTTACCCTCCTTTTTGGGATGAAGACCAACACAAATTGTATGCTCAGATAAAGGCTGGTGCCTATGATGTGAGTTCATTCAATTTAGATTGTATTCTATTTCTCATAAAAATTGCTTTTTTGTTTGTTTGTTTTTCCTTAAAGACCACAAACAGTCTTTTATGGAAAAAAAATCATGTCCATGTCTAGTGTACATGTGTATATAATTTCATTTAACTGGGGTAAATCACCAAGCTATGAGATAAATATTTTTGATTAACTAAGTAATGATGGTGCCGTTGATAATCTTTGCAAGTGAATGTTATTGGTTTTTTTTCTAACTTTTCTTTTTGTGTTTAGTATCCATCCCCAGAATGGGATACAGTCACAGATGAGGCAAAGGTCAGATTTCAGTACAGTGTATATATAAATTTACACGTTTCTGTTAATTACCGTGCGGAAGGTCCGTAGGGGCAAAAATGTGCCCAAGGTCTTGAAAACGGCCCGAGGGCGAGGGCCTCAATTGCCGCGAGTGGCGCGGAATAAATTCCGGAACGTTGTCTGTAATGTAAGAAAACTGAACTAGTTTTGCGCGAACGATTAACCAATGAGGATGCCTCAGAAAAAGACTAATACAACTGTCGGCCGACAGTCGGCCAAAATTTTGGTCTGAAACATAACGAAAACTGTCGGTCGACAGTCGGCCGACAATATCTTTTGGGAACTGTTCTTCACTTCTACCAAGTCATTTTAGAGTGGGTTCTCAACACGAGGGAGACAGAAGTGAGTTATTAGGTTCTCGCCGCTTTTCCTTATTTATTTGGAAATTGATGTTTTTCTCTTTTTCACAGGAGCTCATTAACACTCTGTTGTGCGTTGATCAGTCCAAAAGGATAACAGCTACAGAGGCCCTGAAACATCCGTGGATCGTGGTATGTCTGTTTACCAATTCTAATCGGGCCATTTGCCTTTCTTTTCACCTTACGGACAATCTCTGTGTTTGTGCTTTGAATTTAAGTTGCCTATTTGTGATGGAATCTTTTGTTGTTATCCATTTTGGTAACTGTCAGTTATCAAGGTTTGCTAACACTCGATCGACAACCGCTGTTCTAAAAGCGATAACTTTAGGAAATGGCTGCCTTAACGTGACTGACAAAAACGATGAATGTTGTTTAGAACCGTGAACGTGTGGCTTCTAAAGTACACAGACAAGAAACGTTGGACGGATTGAAGAAATTCAATGCCCGAAGGAAACTTAAGGTAATTGCTTTATTTTTAGGTATGAAAACCGAGTGCTTCGGGAAAGAAAATATAATTGTTGTTGAAGTTCACAGAGTGTGGACAATACAAAGGAAATTATCTTTCCTAAACGGAAATTAAGATACCAATCCGAGGGAAAAATTGACACCCACGCGGTAAACGTCAAATGACTTCGAAACCTGATTTTGATTCCAGTTGATTGGTTAAGAGGAAGTGATTGATTTTCACCCTGATTGGGTTCAGTGTGCACTACATGCAACTGTCTATGTTTTGTTCTGCTTCGTGCATAAATTGGCGAGACAAGGAAAGGCTTTCTTTATGAGCAGGCATCACATGAACCTTTTGTTTCTGTAAAAGAAGTATGCTGAGATAAAAAATTAATTGAAGTGAACTTCTAGCTTCACTTACAGACCAGCATAAACAAACATAATGCTAAAGAGACTAACGGGCAAAGAAATAAGAAATCAGAGAGCAACGGCTTTGAAGTGTCGTATAATTTATTAACACTATCCTGTTGTTAAGACCTGGTTTCTCTTTTGTCCGCCTTCTTAGAATGTTGTTTACCCATTTGTTCTTTTCTTTTTCTCTGGTTCTCAGCTTATTTCTTTCTTTTCTGACTGAGATTTATTTGATGTTTCTTCAGGGAGCAATTCTGACCACTATCCTGGCCACAAGTAATTTTAATCTTTCTTCAGGTATAATCATGTACTGTTCTGCATGGAGTTTCATTGATGTCGCAATATTATTATCGTTTCAGGGTGCCATCTTAACAACCATTGTGGCTCGTAGGTTTTCTGCTAACTCAGGTAAATTTCTTAACGATAAAGATAAATGCTTTAAACGTGAATATTTTCTCTCGAGTCTTAGAGGATTTAAAAATATTAGTGGACATTTAACTTTTTTTAAAAGTTGAATTTACCTCAGTAAACCCATTGAAATCTTTCCAAGCCCTTTAAAAATGAAGAAGCGAATTTCCAAGAGAGATCAGCTAGTCATTGGAACGCATAAAACAAAGCTTTTCTAAGAAAAAGCACCGATGATAGAATTTGGTAATAGTTTTTAAGAGTTGCCATTAAGTAAGTTTGGTTGGCTTTTTTTCATGCATGTGTGTTTGTGAATAAAACTTTGCACAAATTGATAAAATACCGTTCTTTTGCTCAATATCTGTGGTCGTGTTCGGTGTTACCTTTCAGCCCTAAATGGCTTGTTTGGGACAGTCGTATAAACGAGACTAACCAAAGAGCGACCTTATCTAACCAATCGCGATGCCTGAAGTCAATGCGATGAACTGGAGCCGAGCGCGCGAACCCATTTCGTAGCTTTATACTGATTCATCTCACTTTTCGACCGTTAAATGTATAAAATTGTCTAATTGAGAGATAACTCTCGTAAAGCTTTCTTTGGTTAAAGGAATTAGCTTCCGTTCGCTCATCTTGACTTGCTAATTCATATGGTTCATCATAAATTATACGGCTCTTCGTAAAACAAGTAGAAACCTTTAAATATTTTGGACGTTAGCGATAAGATGTAGAATATACTGGCGGTTAAAACTTTCAGCTACTTTGAGCGGTGCATAGTTCTATTACCACGAAAGATCTTAAATTTATGAAAATATGTTATGGTGGTATATACTGACAAAACTGCTAAATTCAAATAAAATGTTAAAAATTTTCGAAGATGCGAGCCCTGTAAACATTTCTCTTAACTCATCTCGCTTTGCTACTAATCTAATGTGGCTCAAACACACTGCGCTTCATATTTACAATGTACCTCTACTGTTTCATTTATGCGCTGCTAATATACAAGACAGTTCTTTCGTATTCTCAAAGAAATTGGTTTGTTGACAGACTTCACCCCTCACTTTCCAGACTGAGTTAATGTCCTACAGTTAAGGCTTGAAGCGGGGGAAAACGTCAATCCCTTTCGGGAAAGGGAAGTTAAGAGAAGAGCTGGTTTCGGTGACAGGGCGTGGTGTCTCAAAAACCTGAGTGGAAACTCTTATCAGAATCAAGCGAAGAATTAATTATGACGGACAGAATCTAAATCCTTCACTTACAAGAGTGACCTAAGAAGAAATTTTTCTTAAAGGTCAAATTTAATGCATTTTAAAGCGGAGAGGCGATGAGAAGAAATGGAAATGCCAATGTACAGAACAAATGAAAGTGATGAAAATGTGTGGCAGACGCTTCTGGGAATAGTTATTTAGATCTTGGAGTTGAAAGGACAATTTTTGAAAATCATCGGCCAATGATAAAATGGTAAAATATTGGAAATTTGATTCCTATGAATTCGACGCGCGATTTAAGACTGCGAAAATAGTGCGGAGGTCCATAAACATCCAAGTACATCGTTGAGTTCTTTTCCCACATTTCATCTCATCTCATTATCATCATATTAGTATTACAGTTATGACCATGATTATTCGTATCATGTTTTTTGTTGTTGATATTTTTGTCGTCATAAGCATTCCATTTCTTATCATTGTCATTATTATTATTGTTATTATTATAATTGTTAAAATTATTATCATTACTTAAAAGCAGTTAGTATTTTGTATCACTGTTTTTTGCAGTTCGACCTTTTGTCAGTAAGAAAAAGGGATCAGACGAAGAACTTACGGTTCATTCTGAAGATGAACACGAGGTTGATGCGGTAGCAAATAAAGGTTGGTAATTAATATGTCCCGTTGTCTAATCCAAAGACCAATATTTATGGTCTGTGTTCCAGGACGAACTCATCTTTTTTTTTGCGAGTGTTTACACAGAAGGCCGGAAAAACTCAAAATGATGCACGTGTACATTAAAAGTCGAAAATGTTTGTCTCTCGTAGTTTCCTAAAAGTATTCGTTCGGACTCATCAAGCAACAGTCTCTTCTACTCTCTGTGATAACTCAAGGAAGGGCTACTTTAGACCTTGATTTAAAATGTAATTATTTCAGTGAAAATATCAAAATGATTGGTGTCATGTTTATTTGTCTCAAAGATAGATCGATCTTTATCAAGATTTATTATTTTGCCCTTTTACCATGGTTACTTTAAACTGTTTAGCTTACATGAACGTCCTCCTTTCAGGTAAAGAACAACACATCATTCAGCTGACTCAGAAGTTGATTACTAGTATCACTACTGGGGACTTCGAAACCTACAGGTAGTTATTTCTGTTAGTGAAGAAGCATTTACGCCAGCAAGCTTTCCATGACAGAACATGAAGGGTTTTTTCGTTAATATTTGTTACTGACACCTGTGCAGTTTCTTGTTGGTTCTTATCCTTCTTGACCTCATGGTGGTTTGCTAAGATTCCCGGCTTTCTGCTCCACACAACATAACACTCCAACTGTCAGTTCGATTGGGAAACAGTCGAAGAAGAGCTAGTCCTTGGCCAATTTCTTGCTCGGAAAACTTAGGAAAATCTCCTATATATATTTCACAAGCCTTAAGTAAATCCCGACTAGAGGTATTCGTAATGATGAGTAAATCAAACGTTATGCGAAATATTTGTTTAAAAAATAATGAATGTTGTTACTCTGATCTGTTGCAGCAAATTAATTGACCCACATGTGACAGCGTTTGAACCAGTTTCGAACGGTAACTTAGTTGAGGGCTTGGAGTTCCACAAGTTTTATTTTGACAATTGTAAGTTGAAAATTTAATCATATATTTTTCTCCATGTTTCCCTTTGGTTCTCTGTTTTCTTTTCCATTCCCCAAAATAGAAATAGCTTGTTTAAGTACGCGCACATCACGGTTTTGCGCATCACGGTTTTGGACATCACGGTTTTGCACATCGCGGTTTTGCACATCATGGCTTTGCACCTCACGGTTTCGCACTTCACTGGTTCGCATTTTCCCCTTTTATCTTTGCGTCCTCAAATTTGATCAACATGTTTGCACCGTCTATTACAGTAAACGCGAATTAACTTAAGAATTATCGCAAACTTTTTTCTCTCTTCTTGACCTCATTTAACATGGAAATTAACTTACGGAAAGACAATAAGGGAACTGAAGCGGGAACTTCTTTGAGATACGAACTGAAACAGGAAGAAGAACGTCACTACAACTGACCTGCTAAGATACCGAAGACGAAACTGGAAGGTCCTCTTTTTATCATTTCAAACCAAATGGTTCACACAAAAAGCTAGAGTAGGCGAGAAAAGAACTCTTACCTTCGAGCTGCCGTGCGCGTCTTTAAAACGTCGATGCGGAAGCTATCTATTATTAATATTAGAAGAACTTATTCTTTTTTTCAGTGAATCTCGTTCCGACCGTTTATAGTATTGCATGATTAATCTTTTGATGAATTGAAGCAAGGGCACTTGGAGGGCTTAGTGTCTCTTTATTAATGGAACTTTTTCCCCTTTTTTTTCACTTCATTTAGTGCACAGCAAAAGAGCAACACCAGTCAATACAACTATTTTGTCGCCCCACGTACACATGCTAGGAGATGAAGCTGCTTGTATCTGCTACGTTCGGCTTCAACAGTTCTTAAGCAGGTGAAAACCAGTGACTTCAGTCCACACGGTTATTGTATAGAAGATTTAGTAGTCGTGATATTTAAGAAATGCAATCCTATTGTGATATTCTGTGTTAAATATATGATTTTTGTCAGAAGAAGCCTTGCTTACGAAGATGGTCGGTCGGTCGGTTTGTTGGGAGATAACTTGTAGGTAAATCCTTACTAGAGGTATTTGTAATGGTGATAGGACCGAGTAAAGTCCAATTTGATCTGTAATCACACAAGTGATTACAAGCGGGAGTCAGATTTGTCAATCACGAGTATGATTACAAACCGAATTGGACGACACTAAATAGTGTTACCAATTAGCTATAACAACTACAATGTCCGAAAAAAAGCAAAAAAAATACTTTTATCTGAGAAAGGGATTATTTTCTATAGTAAGAAATTCCTCCATTTTGGAAATTCCCCGGTGTCATAGAGAAAGTGGTTGTTGCTATGGTGGATTTAGCTGAGTAGGTTGCTTTAACTGTCCAATTAGAGGTGTCTAATTACAACTCTACAGAATAATTAGTGAAAAATAAAGCAGCTAAAGCATTAATCACATTTGAGGATATTGCAATGGTTATATTCCTCTCTGTAATCACATTCGTGATTAAGTAATCCGACTCCTGCTTTGCGGTCGTCCTATTTTATGAAGTTATAAACATCTAATTTGTCCCTTCACTAGCCATACATTGTCGAGCAAAAGAGGTGATCCGAAAGAAGTTATGGTGACTGTCTTGATCTGACACTAAATTCTTGTAACTAATTTACAAGGAAATGTGTAGTAGTCAGAGAGGAGAACTTAGGAGTCTTATAGAGTTTATCACTCGTATGATCACAGACCGAATTGGACACTACTCAGTCCTATTACTATGACGGGCATACTCAGCTGGTGCTTGTCCCTTTGTGCTCAAATCTGGCAGATGAAAACCAATTTCGTTCGAGAATTGTGTTACAGCTTTGATTGTCCCTACTTCCTTTTCTTTCCTAGTGCCGGTGTACCGTTGACAAGGCAGACGGAGGAAACACGAGTATGGCAGAAAAAGTCTGGACATTGGATCAACGTACATCTACATACATCAAACGCGACATGTAGTCCGAAAAGTTAAGACAAGTGGGCTGCTTATGGTTTTACCTGACGTCATTGTCATGGCGGGAGTAGTTTTGCGTATAGCGCTTTGAAACAATACATGAAACGAGTGGCACGTGACTACGCAGGACGCGCGCAATACATGATGGTCATTGACTTTGTCAAAGTAGTGAAACTGAATCGCAAAAAGGTTTCCTATCCCAGAACATAATGCTTAATTTGAACTGGGTTAAGTTGCATTTTGTACTGTACTGCGTTCAGCTGCACCATGTTGTAATATCTAGCTTTGGTCATGCTTATATGGGTTATATATTAGAATTTTTTTTCCAAGGTTGTAAATACTATCTAAGGTAATAATATAGTTGCTTTCAATACTGCAATGTAGTTATGAAAATAGTCGCTTTTTCCACTGAAGGCCATGGAAACGTAGGCCGAGTTCTCACAATTGGGAGTTATTTATTTATTAATTTTTTTCCCAAATTTAGGGATTATTGCTGCACATAATTCTTGGAAATGTCAGAATTTGCTAGTTGTGTTATCTTAATGTGGAAGATGTAGGTTTAGTAAAAAAAAAGTTGTGCGATACAACTGAATTTAGGATTATAATTTTTACATGTTACTCTTTGGGGTATGATGAGGGTATAACTACTTCAGAAAATATTTTACAAGTTATTAAAACTTGTTATTAAATGACAAAATATATGACACTAACAAAATTATTCTGTTACAGTTGGCTCTACATTAGGAAGGAAATATTTGGCACTAAAAAGTTTCAACTGTTTTATTATTATTTCTCATATTTTATGATGATGATGATGATGATGATGATTATGATTATTATGATTATTATTATTATTGAAGATTGAATTCCAAATAGTTGCTGTTTATGTTGATAATTTTACTAGTGAACTCTTATTATGCTTCAGCTATGCAAGTTTAAAATGAATGCAATTTTTTTAGGATTATTATTAGGTAGGCTTTTCTGATGTTTTGAAAATTCTCGATATTTAGTCATTTTATTATTATTATTATTAATATTTTATTGTAGTTATCTTTATTGACATTCTTATTATCGCTATCATAACACGGGTAACATTTCAAGTGATTCAGAGGCAATTCTCGATTGAATGCCATGTTGTAAAACCAAATCCAAGGTTATTCTAACAGCCAGTCAAAACAAAGGAAAAACGTAGCGACAATTCAAGGAGGTTGTAAGCAAACTTCTGTAAGCGCGACCATTAGATTAAGTTGTGCCCCAGACAGTTTCGCGCAGAACATAGCGTGCTATTTTAGAAAAAAATCAGCGAGCACGCAAATAACACTCCAGAGTTGCTTTCGACATTCAGTTGAGAATTTCTTTGTACCGAAAATTGAGTAATCTCATTTAAATAGCTAACTGAATCTATGTGATTTACGAGAGCTTCAAACCTGCTGGCTTAAAAAACCTGTCATTGATTCGTTAACTTCCATCGGACATTATTAATACGCACCAGTTTGAGTATTTTGTAGTGGGCGTTCATGTCTAACCTGCTTCCAGGATTTGAAATTCAGGGTAAGGGATCTTTTAAGCTTTGCTCTCTTAGGATTGTTGGAATTGTCAATATTTCGTAAATTCCGTCGTGCCTTTTATTTTTGTCGAGTTTCTTTGGAGTTCTTGTCTTGTTTCTCTTGCCTCTGATTTAGTCGGGACTTTCGTCTCCTAAGACAAATCTGAAGCAAGGACTATCATGTTTTCAAGTAATTTGTGTCACTTTTCTTTTTACCAAAACGTGTCTGGAAGTTGTACTCTTCGTAACTTTTAAATCAAGTCTAATTCCGGATTTTACACTCTTTAAGTTTTCATCAGAGCAATGCAGAAGTGTCTGTGTGGATTCAAGTTACACTGTAGCTCCACTAATTTCTCCATGACCATCGAATTATCTCTTTTCCAATAGCAATCGCAGTTTTTCAAGTAAACATTTTGTGCCCCAGGCCAAATTGCTCTACCAGTAGTACTAACTACCTATCTAACCGTTTTAGACTGACAGACTGTTATTGCGCGTGGGCACGCGTCGCTAAATAGCTGTTGTAAAAATTTATTGTTGTTAACTGTCTTAGTTGAACTAATTCAGACTGTAATTGATAAAAACAACTCAATGCTTCAAATTAAATAAAGATGGCCGTGGCTGTGGTGGTCTTATGGCATCTTGTTGGCTGAGATCAGCTCACGATTTTGAAAAACGCTCGTAGAAAAATTGGTGGCATCACTTTATCAGTTACCATCTACGAGCGAGTTTCTCCTTCATCTCGAGGTTGTGCTTAGTCGGAAAATTCAACAAAGGTTGAGCCATACTCCCCTTCCTGTTAAGGCCAGAGCTAATGCAGATTTCTGTGGCTTGAAGCCACGGGTGTATTACTACCGTCGCTGGATGAAGCACCGGTCCATCGCAGGTCGCCTTCAACATTTTGTTGTTTCCCTAGCCATTTACTGGCACTTGTTTACTATCATGGTTGGAGACTGAGAGGAAATGAGAAAAGTGTCAGTTTCCCAAGAACACATCGACCTGCAAGCAAGGAGCGCTAGTCATTAGCATATTTCTCCTAATTTTTAAATTCCATTGAACCTGCAGTAACTCGAGTTTCGTTGCTTTCTCGAATCCAAGGAGGGCCCCCACTCCCGAAGAACCACCCAAATGCAACTTACCGAATTGCACAATAACCAGAACATGAAGGGAATGATAGATAACGCCTTTATTAACAATTTCAATATTTACATGAAAAGGTAAATTCCCGTCGTGCTGTGTACTATCTACAATCTAATCTGGTGAAGTCTCCAATAGCAAAGATTTTGTTTCAAGGCCGCCGGATTTCCACTGGCGCATTCGCACGCACATAAGAGAGATTTAAAACAGACACGTGAAGACGCATGCACGCAGAGATAGAAAACGGAAGATGAAAATGAAGTGCAATTATTTTATTTTGCTCGCCTGTTTGTTTGTTCTAATTTGAATATATCTACAAAGTTGAAATGGTAAATTGGCCACCGTTACGATTATAAAAGCTGACGTTTCGAGCGTTTGCCCTTCTTCGGAGCGAATAGAGGAATTGTGGGTTGTGTGTGCTTTTAAAAGCAGAAAAAGGAGCTACGTGATTGGTGGTAACATGGCAACGAGAAAAACACGAATAAATTAGTGGAATGAAAAGCGTTCGTTGATACTTGTGGGATTTAGATTGCCGGTTTGAAAGATGAGCTTTTGTTCAAGAGTTTTACGGCTTTCCGTGCTACCTAAGTGTAAGGAAAGACCGCAGATTGCCATGTTTTGCTTAGAATGGTTAGGTAAATTAAAATGTCTAGCGACTGGTTTCGATGTGTCCTTGTCATTACTCTCCACATCGCGAAGGTGTTCTCGGAATCGGCCACCTAGTCTTCTGCCTGTTTCACCGATGTAAATCTTTTTGCAGTACGTGCAAGCTATGCAATAGATTATATTGGCGGAGGTGCACGTGAAGTGATCGGTGATCTTAATGGAGCGTTTGGGTCCCGATATTTTCTCACTGTTTTGAATGAAAGGACAGGTTTGGCACCGTGCACGAGCGCATTTAAAAGTGCCTGGTTGGTCATTAGTCTGAAAAGAACTCCTGACCAAAAAATTGCCTATGTTTTTGTCGCGTTTGAATGAAATGAGCGGAGGCTGCGAAAAGATAGTGCTTGTCTCTGGTCGTTTTGAAGTAATTTAAAGTTTTTAAGAAGGATGGATTTAACTGAGTGGTTGTGAGAGTGAATGCAATGGGGTCGGAATCTTCCATTTGTGACGTTTGTAGTGCTGAATGTCGATCAATAAGTTGGGCGCGCTGGTAACCCGCTTGAACGACAGAATCAGGGTAACCACGTTTATCGAAAAACTGGCACATTGACTCTGATTTGTGGTGGAAATCAGAGTCATCACTACATAAACGACGAAGTCTTAGAAACTGAGAAAAGGGAATGGAATTCTTAACGTGTGATGAATGCGGAGACGAATACAACAAGTAATTATGCCAGTCTGTAGGTTTGTAATGCACACAAGTGCCTAAACCACAAACAAACACTAGGGTTCGTTTGTTCGTCTGATTGTCACGGTCCGTCCAACACCGGTAAGTAAAAACTGCTTGTCAAACTTAAGCGAAAACTTGCTAAGAGTGCACTTGGATTGAGTTTCGTAAAACCAACCCAAAGTAACCAACACAGCCAGTCAGAGAAAAGAAACATCAAATGGAGCCGAAGAGAATTCAGAGTAAACACAAAGTATCTGCCAGTAGCGCGACAAACACAAGTGGCCAAGTCGTTGTTATTTTTACACCTGAATGGTTGAGTTTTGTAAACCAATGACAGTCAGAAGCCTCAGCAGTAACAAAAATGTAACCATCAAAATAAAACAGAAAAAAGATTTTTCTTCTTCACCATTTTCCTACTAACGCGTGTTTTGAATTGTGTTAAAGCTCTAGCGAAAATCAGCCTTCCTTGATGCTAATGATAAATAAACATTTTAACCCGCATTATAAATCGATTCCTCCTTAACATACACGCATTACATGACTTCAATGATAAATTAACGATTTTACACCGGAGCAATGCCGCTAAATTCCAAAGTTAAAACTGAGCACTTCCTTCGCCTCCTCTTCTGCTGTCAGCATGCGCTGTAATTTTTTCTTTGAAATACGATAATCCATTTACATCCGTTAGCGCCGGCTTACTGGAGATATCATGACCCATTTTGCGAAGATCCTTCTGTAAACGAGAGGCAGCTCCTTTGTCTTTAAATTTTTCAGCTAGGAGAAAACACATCGCAAAGTCAACCGTTTTTGTTACGTTTCAATAACAGCAAATAAAAGTTAAAGTAAACAGGATGGTAACTTAACTTCAGGGGATTAGTCTCAGGGTACGAATAGCCTGTCCCGTTCCCAGCGGTAGCGCAGGTGGAAAAAAGGGGAGATTTAAGTCGGGTGCAATTCATAGTTCATAGTTCAATTAACGCCTACAAAAGTCCGCGTCAGCGCAAAGTCTTTCATACCAAAAATATTTCAACTCTCCTTTTCAAATAACACTCGTTCAAACTTGAAGCCTCATTTAAAAAGTAACAGTACTTGGAAAAGGACTACTCGAGTCACTCCATCATCGGTACATCATCGGTACATCACAGTAGAATTCTTAACTTACGGAAACACTCACTAAACTGAGACAAATCGATAACATAACAGTAAAACTCATAATTATGTTTTTTCTTTTCCTGTCGCATACAAAAGCAGAGATGAAAAACAAAGCCAGCAGCAGTACCTTCAATTTCAGGTTTGCCAGTATTTATATTGAAGAAAACTCTTGGTCTCTCAATAGAGTCCTCCAACGAGTCATTAAAAGCTAGATAGTTAATCAAAACTTCGGCTACCGCAGGTGTTATGTACATTCCACCAGAAGCCCCCAGCGACATGCGGAACCAACAACGTTTCTGAAGTAATAAAACCAACGTTAACAGCTTCTACAGCGAACGCTCATGGAATGAATGAGAAAGAAGGATTATGGGGTATGAGGGGAAGTGGAACGTAACTGGTGGTGTGAAAACTCGTGGGAAAAAAAGGTGAATATTTCAAATGGAAGATTCTAATTTCGTATTCACTCGACCAATCACCGCGGTGTTTGTTAATTCTTCTGCATTCTCGGAGCCGCGTTTTTTTTTGAGGACGAATTTTATGTCTTGAATCACCAACGACAATAACGGTAAAACATTTGTAAATAACAATATTGTGTACGACAGACACGTTCAAAGTTCCAAAAGAAAAAGTTCCGCTTTGTTTGCCGAGATACAATCGTAATTGCCTTGTTTGTCCTTCTAACAACAAAGATGGTGGAGATACGCGAGTCGTAATGCAACAGTCTTTCTCACAGTCCTCGAAAAAACGTCGTCTGATCGCGGGCACCATTATTCGAGGGCGACGTTCATTGGTGATCTTTCTTCCATCTGTGGCTTTTAGTAATTTAAACACGGTTTAACATACAGGCGACATTAAACCATGGCAAACTGCGTTACCTCTTTGTGCAGAACAACAGTTGGCACACAGGACGAGAGTGGACGCCTTCCTGGCGCAATAAAGTTAGCCTGAAAGTAAATGTCCAAATCCTGTCAGTTACACGAACAAATTCCAACGGACTAAGATACGTTTAGTATGTTTCTCCGTAGCGTTAGTTCGCCTACGTAGAAAGAGTCGAGATCATTCGGTGAAATGTCAGGCTAAAATACTTTTAAAAGAATGAATAACTTGTGAAATGACCGTCATTTCTCTATAAATAGGGACTTCAAGCAGTCAGGACGGCAACGCCACGGAAGACGTCGATTAAAAAATGAGTTTCTACTTTTAGTTAGAATTTCGAAAATGGCTGCATGGGTTTACCGTCTCATAGAGCACCAGACCTCAAACTCAACATATCGCATAAAAGTAGCGTTGAGTTCCAAATGTAAATTAAAATAATTTGCCGCCTCGGTTTCGCTTCGCAGACTACGCAAATTTGGGTGATTTCACGTTGTTGTTTTGAAATGACGGCTAAGAAATGTACAAAGTTTTAAAATGCACGTGCTGGGCTATTGTTTTGCCAATTAGATCTATTGTTTTTCCACGTTCTCGTTGCCGTAGCCGTCGTGGTTTGCTTAAAGTCCCTAATGCGGAATAAGAGACGGGGTATGACAAACTTTTTAACCTACCTTGGGTGGCCCATCCCAGCCAACCTTGGTAACTTCAGGAATTGAAAAGTCTGCCATCTCATTGTTTAAAATAATTCCGTGCTTGGTCATGATGCCAGAACCAAAATAGTCATTTATTGTGCTAGAATAAACATCGAAACAAAAATCAGTTCCGACTTAAACAGACAATCCACAATACTTGTACAATCCAAAATTTTGCATCTGTTGGTTAAGTCCTTAAGAAATTGCATTAATTGACCTGGGTCGAGTTGTTCAAAAGTGGGTTAAGATAACCCAGGGTTAGTGTGAAATTAGATTTCAGATCCGAAAGCTTTAAAATAAAATTCAGTTTATTTCCACTTGTTTACAATTTGGTGATTGAATGAGCTATAAAGAATTGGGAAAATTATCCCAAAACAGCTTTTGAACAAAGAATATAGAAAAAATAAAAAATTTAACCTTGGGTTAGCGCTAATCGGCCTTCGAACAACTGGGCCCTGGAATGAGTATTGGCCAGATTTTCTCTATTGGTGTATTTATGGGCCGATACAACACCTGGATCAACCAAAACTCCAAAAAAGAACTCGACTTATATTTATCCATCCTGCCCCACCAATCTTTTTAAACGATTAATTGCACGGTTAAACTACTGAAAGAAACAACAGCAAAATAAACAAGCTCGGCCTGGTCAATGGAGAGGTTCAGTCTTGGGAGGCCACGAAGAAGATTAATAAAATACTGCCATAACTTCTCTCGGTCACTGTGGCATGAATAGAGAGAGAGAAGTAAATTTATTCCGCCAGTAGCTTTCCTTAGCAATTCACTGGTACCCCATTTATATGCCCACATGGAGAGAGAAGCCCTGTGGGAACAAAGTGTTTTGCTCAAGACTCAGCCAGCATCCCAGTCCCGCCATCGTGATCTGAAGTCAAGCCGACATCGCCAGGACCCCAGTCCCGCCATCGCGATCCGAAGTCAAGCCGATACATAGCCCATCGCCCAGTCCCACCATCGTGATCCGAAGTCAAGCCGACACATCGCCCAGTCCCGCCATCGTGATCCGAAGTCAGGCCGACACATCGCCCAGTCCCGTCATCGTGATCAGAAGTCAAGCCGACACATCGCTCAGTCCCGCCATCGTGATCCGAAGTCAAGCCGACAAATCGCGTCCAAAGTAACTTCCACGGTCAAAGACAGACAAACACCAAAAAGGTAAAAGTCAAACAAGAAAGGAACTCGGATGGTTATGATGCGAAATATGAACTCCGATTGCAAACAGGGAAATAGTTCTATTTATCTAGACGGACCAACATTGACGAAACTCCTCTAACTTCTCCACATACATGTATCAGTTATGTCATCAAAAAAAAATCCTAACACTGACCTGGTAACACTCACGAGTTCACCATCGGGTCCTATAACAGACACATGCGCAGTACCATGTGGTTCTGCTTGGCCAAATATTGGCCCATAGTAAGATGCATTAAAGGTTTTGTCGGGTGAGATTTTCTCTCGAAGGAATTTCGCATGATCTTTGCTGAAAGAAAAGTTGGAAGTGAGTACTTCACAAAAAATAACTAAAAAGAGTGTGAAATGCACTTTCATGAACGAAGAACAAAGAGAGAAAGGGCCCTAAGCACTAATACCGATTTTCACGGATTTTCTTTTCCTTACAAAAAGGTCACGAGCCAGAACATTTGTATCTAAAACGAAAGTTATTTCAGAATTTACTCCCTTTCTGACTTTAAACGTAAGTATGGAGAATGTTTGTGTGTATCACTGGAGGACAAAAAAAGAAAAAGGAAGGCGAGGTCGCCTTGTTACCCTTTTTTCAAAGGGTCACACAAAGCTATCTAACAATCCTGAGAAGGCGGCAAGGGAGATTACTTAAAAAGGGAAGATTCAGGTAAAGAGGACTTGGCGACAATTGTTAGAGTAACATTGAATTTATGAGTCGGCTTTATTTCTCTAACTCCCTGAAATCGTACTACGCAAACTAAACGTTTTTACAGACACATCTATTTATTTTGCAAAGAGAGAACATTAAAAAAAAAAAAAAAAAAAAGAATTGAACAACACATCTACCTTAACATTTGGTTTACAAAAAAAAAAAAAAAAAAAAACTCAAGCAGTGACCTCTGGGCAAAAGCAAACTTTATGAAAAAAAAAAAAAAAAAAAAATAAACCCACTTGAAAGAGATGCTGGGTTCAAAATGTTAAAAAAAAAAAAAAAAAAAAATCAAGATCATCATTGCAATCATAAAACAGGATATTACAAAAAAAAAAAAAAAAAAAAAAAATTGAACAAAATTTAAGAGCTACTAAACAGCTGTCAAAAAAAAAAAAAAAAAAAAATAGACACTCTGTAAAGGATTTTCTCTGTAAAATTTCTAAAAAAAAAAAAAAAAAAAAAACAGAAGATTTAAATGTTTGCCTGTATTTACTTATCATGTATGCTGTACCCTACTCACCTCTATAATGTAGTGATATGACTGGCTCTTTCCCAGAAAAAAAAAAAAAAAAAAAAAACCTTCAAGAATATTCAGCAATGACACTAAAACTGGTCAAAAAAAAAAAAAAAAAAAAATTATCACCTGATAACCTAGAAAAATATCAAGACAACAAAAAAAAAAAAAAAAAAAAAACATGTTGGTTGGGAGAATTTGGTATAATTGGACAAACTAATAATCCCCTTATTGATATACCTGGTAGTTTCTTTATTCTTATCACTTTTCTGCTTAAAAAAAAAAAAAAAAAAAAAGGAGAAATTCTCTCTTGGGCATTAAAGGTTCAACTAAAAAAAAAAAAAAAAAAAAAAATTTTAATACTGCCAAACCCTGAAAATATTCATATACATTTGTATCTGCTCTCAGAGCCATTTTAATGTTTTGCACTCAATG